AACTCTGCTCACAGGACGCTGCCAGGGGTAAGTCAGTGTGATTGCATGCCGCTGGTGATGGGGATGCCATACACATTCATGTCAAAAATACCGAACTATCCCTTTAAAGCCTTCATTGTTAGATGACTAATACAGTGTGCAGACAATGATTCAGTTTAAGTTAAGATAAAAACAAACTTTTTAAGACTTTAGATGAAACAGAAGTCAATGTTCTGTTTGTTGGAGTCCGACATCTTACTGTTAAAGCCGAGCATACACTGTACGAATCTTTCAATCGTTGCACACAGCTACAGCTCACACTGTACGATGTAGCCGCAGGGTTTAAAAGTTCACAGCTCATGATGTATGTTCTCATACTGTGAGGCCCGATGCTCTGATGCGATCTACCTGCTCACACTGTACGTCTAAAAACCACGTTCAACTCAGCTCCACAGTAAGATGGCACTACTCTGACTAATCTATCCGGAAGCCAAACGAGTAGAAGAGGAATATGAAGCTCACTAGAGTGAAACATGCTGCCTTGGCAATTTGTGCAATTTTGTGCTGAAAGCCCTAAAATGAAAAGGCAACAACGTATTTGGACAAAGACATGGCTGAGAAAACGTGGCTACTACGGTCTGTCAATTTTACAGAAAGAACTCCATTTCACTCACACCCCTGCTATGGTCCCTCCTGCAGTCTGTCTCTATGGGACAGGTAAACGGCCATCTTTGCTTCACTGATTAAAGAATTTAAAAGTAGGGCCTTTGGCTCATTTTTTTCTATTCTCGCAAACTCCTCCTATGAAAAGTGCGTTTGTAAAAACTGTCCCAAAAACACTAACAACACTAATGAAAAGGCAAAAAATTATCTTTGGTCATTTGGCATTCCATAAAAACATGGAACACATTTTCAGACAGACCATAGAAAGGACACTCGTTTAAAACACGCCGATTAATAACCAATAAAACTTAGTTTGTGGCGATGGCGACGTGTAAAATCCTCCATTGGAGATCACCAGTTCGTTTTTTTGATTGGAGGCTTGTATAAAGAAGAAGATGAATCCTTGTTTGCACACTGAGGGATTTGCCCACAACCACCTGACGAAGGCCGACTGAATTTCAAAGATGTTTGATTTTCTCCCTACCGTATGATTCCTGATCGGGAGGTGGTTGTGAGCGGCTGAATACCCCTCATTACCCCTTGTACACTACACGACGCATAAACAGGCTGAAAGTCGCTCTGATCAAAACATTCTCGCACGACTGGAGAATCGCCCCAAAAAGGGCAAAATCGTACAGTGTATAGAAAATTATCTCTGCTCGACCATCTTCAGCTTGTGCTACTGTTTCTCTTTTTTTGTAGACCCGTAAAAACTCCTTCTGGCGTGTGGAACCCAGTGAAGGAGTGTTGCCACCGGAGAGCCAGCTAAATCTAACGATAGTGGCACATCTGAAGGACATGCTTCCCTTCCTGGATGAGCTGCAAGTGTTTGTGCGGGACAGTCGGACACACACCATCTCCCTGTCAGCCAAAGGCACCGGGACAACAATAGTCAGTGACAAACCTTTGGGGCCTAACCTCGACCTGGGGACACACTTCTGGTAGGAACTTAGTTTAATACACGTGGTTCGAAAATGTGAACAGCATGTCATGTTGGTATTATTGTTGTCTTTGAAGCGATGCTCCATACCAGTATCGATTCAAGCTGACCAACCTTGGTCTGCGTCCTCACCGAATGTTCTGGAAGGTCGGTGGCATCCTGGCTATTCCACGACAGCCTGTAGACATCTCCGGTAGAACGCCATTGCCTCCAATCGGCTGCTCTGGACGGAGAGATGCTCAGAGACAAAGACTTTCATCCAGCAAAGAGAAAACAATGATCAGCGTCAGCCCTGCTTGTCTGGACCTTAAGCCTGGCTCCTCGGTTGACATGGTGCTCACAGCATCCTCTGATTCCCCCAAGGTGATAACTGATCAATAACGCCTCTGTATACCATCATGCAGCTAATGACAATAGAAAGGTGCCTTATAGTGATGTGTTAACGAGACATCTTGAAGTGTTTTGACTCATTGCCAAACTGTATTGATACTGCGTTGATATTGACTCACAGAATACTGACACCTGCTTGATATTTAAAGACACTACAGGCAGGTTATTTGATAGACTAAACTGAATTGATTAGATGACCTAGTATCAGGCTCGGACTGGTAATCTGTGATACCGGGCATGTGCCCGGTGGGCCGGTCCTAATTTCAGCGTGTGAGGGCCGACCTTCCTTAAATCATACCGGCCCCAACACTTACTCTCTGGCCGAAGCACCGACATGTGACATTAAATAACTAAAGGAGTTTACATTGTAGATCCAGTATGTGTGTGTGAGTGGGTAGGTGGGTGGGTGGGTGTCTGGCTGGCTTCGTGCAAGAGTGGACGTTAAGCAACAGCAGTCACTGTCACATCCGTGTTAATAACCAAAGCCAGTAAAACCGCATTATAGAAGTCTTGGTGATGGTTGTCATGGGATGCTTGAAGATAGATCGGTTAAACCACGATGTGTTTTTGTATTGTGTTTCACATTTGAGACGCACGTGTTTGACTGTGCTTCACATCTTTATATCTATGTTTAAATTGAAAATATCTTTGATATTTTTAGATGCAGCCAATAAATAACTTTAATTCAGATCAGTTGAGTGATAACCCCTGAGCCTGATCAGTAGCTTTGCGTCGTCTGTTCCTGTTTGGCTGTGACTCCATCCTGAAGAGAAATATCAGCTGTGCTGCTGGCATTAACACCTTTGTTTATAGATGTTGGAGATCGGCCTGTTTTCATTGTAGTCCTGTTTCTCTGACTGTGACTGACTGGATGTGCTCTCTTCATCCTCTGACATGGGGGCTGACTTTAAGCTCGTTTGTCTGGCGGTCTGTTTCCTGGAAGGGGCCGCCTTTTACAGTTACTTTTTGTATCTCTGCTTCTGTCTCCTTGAATCCCAGTTTACCTCAGCAGATGGACGCTCTTACTGAGCCTGGTTCTGCTGGAGGTTTCTTCCTGTTAAAAGGGAGTTTGTCCTCTCTACTGTCGCTATAAGCATGCTTAGAGTGAGGGATTGCCTTCGAGTCGATGCAATCAAATTGTTTTTCTTTGATAGAAAACGTTTTTAAACACAATTTAGTGAGTCAGTCAGTTTGAAACAACTTCTGTATCGGTCACATGACTTATTTGTAATGACACACGCACCAATACAGTGTTTCGCTCAATAGGCTTGATGCATGCATCAATGCATCGTTGCTGCTGGACCCAATACTACTGCTTTGTAGTAGTTAGAAAAGTAAGCACCCCCCCCCCAACAAACACAACCGTGCTTTTATAGTACGTGTCCATCACATACCATATTGATCAAATATTTCTGTAACATGTATGATGATTTTGCTCAACGCTGTAAATGTATAAACTGTTTTTCTCCATATTTCCAGATTCTTCACGAGCGCCTTGTGTGCGACAGCATCATTGGTGGACATGGTATTCAGGAGACCATCATGTCTGTGGAAGTAATGTGTCGATTTGTTTCTCCAAAGCTCAGCATTTCCTCAAAGCAGCTGAACTTTTATGTAAAGAAGGTTGGTTTTGACAAAATCTATCAACAATAAATACTGGCCAAATAAAACCCAGACTAAGTTGTTATTTAGCTCTGTCTAAAGTGTAAAGCCGGGCGTACACTGTACAAATTTTTGCCCTATTCTGGCCGATTCTTCAGTCATGCGATAATTTTTCGATCGGGCCGACTTTCAGCCTGCTTGTGAGTTGTGTAGTGTACAGTGGGTAACGAGGGGCGATCACCCTCTCACGACCACCTACCGATCAGGAATCGTAACGTCGGGAGAAAATCAAACATGTTTAAAATTCAGTGGGCTGTTGTAAGGTGGTCGTGGTCAAATCGCTCAGTGGGCAAACAAGGATTCTTCTCCTTTTTCTTCCTCCATTACACTCGCACCCCTCAGGCAGGGGTGCGAGTGTAATGGAGTTCTTTCTGTAAAATTGACAGACCGTAGTAGCCATGTTTGCTCGTCCATGTCTTTGTTCAAATATGCCGTCGCCGGGGCATGTTTCGGTGACGCAGTGGCTAGTGCATAAGCCCATGTACTGAGGCCTTAGTCCTCACCCAGGTTCGAATCCGACCCGTGGTCCTTGGCCGCATGTCTCTCCCCCTCTCATACCTCCTTTACTGTCAGCCTACTGTCCAAAAAACGAGCCACTAGTGCTGCAAAAACTAAAAAAAAATAGAAAAAAATACACCGTCGTCGTTTCTTTTTAGGGCTTTAAGCACATAATTCCACAAATTGCCAAGGCAGCACATATGCTCTTCTACTCTACACAGACATGGGCAATGTGGAGTCAACAAGTCATCTCCATGTCATGTATTTGTTCTACCCAGCCACTGAGGCAGTTGAGTCTAATCTTCACCGTGAATTAACCTGTGCAGATTGGACTCACCTGGTTAATTGGCTGGGTAGATTAAATACATGACATGGAGATGACTTGTTGACTCCACATTGCCCATGTCTGACTCTACATCTCACTGCGGAGCTGAGTCCGACATGGTTTTTAGACGTACAGTGTGAGCAGCTAGATCGCATCAGAGAACATTGAGAACATGCATTGTGAACTGGGAACTTACACCGTAAGACGAAACCGCAAAGTTTCATAACTATTGAAAAAATCGTACAGAGTATGCCCGGCTTAAACAAATCAGCACACCGTTTTTCTCCACTCTGCCTCTATCTCACAGGTTAAGGGGAGCCTCCTGCCTGTGTATGAGAGGCTAGTCTTACTCAATGTTTCCCCTTTGCCTCTGAGGCTGGAGCTCAGTGTTACAGAGCCTTTCTCTTTGTGTGAGTCTCCCGGAGAAAACAACTCGACCACAACCAAGGTTTGTTACAGTTGCTTTAGTGCCATCGTACGCTGAAACTTTAACCCTTAATAGGCTAAGTCACCATTTTTGATCACTTGCATACCCCTTACAAATGGAGTCCCCCCGTCCCTCAGTGAGGTCTAGAAGCACAAGATCTATATCTAGCCATTCAGCAAAGATCTTGCTACATGGCTGTACATCTTATTTTGGCATTTGACCAATTAGAGGAGCCCTTGAATGATATATTACCTACTGTAAATTAAGTTGGAAAAAATAGGTCAAGACATAAAGGTAAAAAGCTGATTAAAAAGTTAAAAAAGTAAAGTTCAAAAGTTAATAAACTTAGGTAACAATTATATTTAGGTTCTTAAACTAAAAAAATGTAAGGTTATGTTAAAAAAAGTGTAAAACTTAAATTTCTGTAGGTAGAAATATAAATAGGAAGCAAGGAGTTAAAGTAAAAAGCAAGTTGGCGTGATCTGAAATGATCTATATGGTCTGGGACTCAGAGGGCAAATTATTTTCCTTTCACATCTACAAGCTTTCTAAAAAAGTTTTCTAGAAAGCCTTTCAGATATAAGATCTACTGTATGTTTTCTACTCCAATCTTGTATTTTGTATTAAAATGACTGTGTTCTTTTTCCAGTTTATGGTTGTGAAGGATGAAGGTCGATTAGAGCTCTGGGTCTGCTTTGATCCATCTTTATGTACCGACTTAGTATCGTGTATTTTAGATAAGGTAAGTCTAATGATGGTGTTAAATATTTTGGAGTAATGCAGCTTTGAGAATATATAATTGGCTTTTTTTAATTTGGTTACAGTAAAAAAAAAATAACAACAATAATATAAAAGGATTTATACCACGATTTTAAATGTCAAGAGAAAAATAATCTATTTGAACAAAAAAAACAAAAAAACAACAGGCCTAATTATTTTAATAATTAAATAAATTAAGTTAATAAATATATATTTTTAGAACCATATGTGTAATTTTGCAAGGCAGATTTTTTCCATTGTTCTTAAAAAGGAACATTTTACTGGTAACTAAACGTAGTGGTTGTAGTGTGATAGTCTGAGGTTGCTCTGCTGCTTCAATGATAGTGTAATGCTACATCCAGACCGCACGCAGCAGAAGCAGCAAAATTGCTGCTTCATTTTTGATGCTTGTACAAGTTTAGTTCTGACGCGCGGCTTAAGCATCTTTGCGGCTCTGGCTGTGTGGTCAAAAAGTGGGTCTGATGCGCGTTGGGCGGAGCTACCCTATCCTTTCTTTGCCTGGAACAATGGCAGCAATATTTGCTTTGATCAGTGGTTAAAAGTAATTTTAATGTTTTTAAGTTATAAAGTCCACCTGAAAACTTTGAAAACAGTCAGTTCATCCAGATTACCATCCTGCCTTCAAATATTATTTCTCTATCGGAGCCACTCAGACCCCTTGTACACCAGCGGTGCTCTGTCACTGGGAATCCCGTTTAACAGCAGCCTCTGGCCCAGTCGCCTCTGTGGTTTTCCACTACTGTTCGCTGCGTTTTTCACTTACGTGATACAAACTGCCAGCACCAGAATAATAAAAGCGGACATATTATGCCGGCAGGTTTCGACATTTTAAGTTAATTTAGGCGTTAATAAACTGTTTCAGAAGAGTGATCATTGCGATCTGCAATCAGCTGTGCTGTGTCTGTCTCCCAGCTCCCAGATCAGCTTCTCTGATTGGTTGATGTGGCGCATCCAGCAGCAAAAGTTCAATTTTTCCAACTCGAGCAGCTGCTGCTTCTGAAGCGCTTCAGCAACCTCAGATGCTCAGAGCCTCGTGAGGCGCTGCTTCAGCTGCTCAAAACGCGCTGCAGGACGTTTCGCTGCTCCTTGATGCGCATCAACCATTGACTTTGCATGTAAACCAGCTGCTTCTGCTGCCTCTGCTGCTTTAGGTGTGAACGTAGCATTAAAGATGGAACCATCAACCTCTCTACTTCTCCTAAAGTTAACAATCATTGGAAACCGCATTTTGTATTTACTCGGGTTATAATAATCTGAAATCAACCTGAATCATTTAAAACAAAAACAAAAGAAATCTTTAAAAAGAGAGTTCTTCCTTATTATTTCAATTCACAGTGCTTTAGATTTCTCCTAATGTGGAAAGAAATTTGAGGAAGTCTAACACATTGGATTGTAGTAGTTATAGTCAACTATAAGCTATTAAAAATATTTAAACATATTGTTTTATTCTCTAAATATTATCCGTATAAAACCTCTAATGATGGATGGTTTAAATAAATAAGATGCAAACCCTCTCCTGTATGGAAGCCTGGGGGTTTATTAAAGGGTTGTCAAATTAAAATTGCACATGACAATGACTATCTGCTTTTTTAGAGATGTAAAATCGATCAGATATTTCCTTTATCACCCCAAATTATTCTAAAATAATTTAATTATAAAACATTAAGGATATTTAGTTATATTTTGCTTTAAACTTATAATTTTTTATTTTTTATTTTTTTAATTTAACCTTTATTTTACCAGGAAGTCCCTTGAGATAAAATCTCTTTTTCGAGGGAGACCTGGAAAAATGTTACTAGTTTACTAACTGTCATATTTGTCTGGTCTTCTCGAACTCTGTCATCAGGTAAAATCATTTTGAATTCAATGACTGTAAAATCTTTTCAGGGATGTATTTTCTAAAAATTGCCAAACTTTTACTTTTAGGTCTGTGTATTAAGCCTCTTTCAAAAATAATTCAGCTTCCCATACTCACAAAAAAAAAAAAAAAAAAGGTTTTGCCTTCAAGTTTCTGAGTTTTGTTTCAAGTTTTGCTTTCAAAAAGAAGAAGAACTGCAAGGATGAACGTATAAAAGATCCGGCACTGAAATAACCAGATATTTTCCTGCATGTCTCATAGACCCTCAAAATAAAATACTTGGAACCTCAACAACAAGACATTGTGAAGTTGCATGCTGAGGTCCACTTACCAACACTTCAGTTTTCTTCAACCACAGTGGATTTTGGTTGCCTGCCAAAAAACACAGCTGCAAAGAAAACTATAACAATCACCAACTGCTCCTCAGTTCCTCTATCCTACCACTGGGCTTTTCAAAAACTCCCCCAAATCAGGTATGTAAAGAAGCATAACTATAATTCTGCTGTTTATGATAGTTAATGTAAAGTTTGGGTAAAAGGGTTACATTGCATATAATCCACATGGTATATTAACTGGTATATAATTTTTTTTTTACCACCTTTTGTTCAGGTTGTAACGGTATTTGAAAAAGAAACCTTAAAGGGATAGTTAAGGTTTTTGGGCATGAAAATGTGTGACATGTTCACCATCTGTAGCTGAAATGTATCCGTGTTCCTACCATCACCGAGTTTCCGGATATTATAAACGGCCGGTTCACATACCTGAGAAAAAGTAGTTCCCATACAGAACAGGGGTGCAAATAATCAAATTTAGTAATCAAATAAGACAGTTCCTGAGAACAAAAATCAAGTAAACAGCTTATAAACACTCAAAAAGTGAATTATAACACCATTATTTGTAATAAAAAATATGTACTAGCCCTACAATAGCAGTCATTCAAAATGGCCCTTCCCTGTCAAACGCCAACTGAATGGCAGCCCACTTCCCTCCAACTTCAAGCCACAGGAGTGACCCTGTCTTGCATATTTTTTTACTCTGACTCCACCATTTCACTGAATTACAGGGTCTGACCAGGAGATGACAATTCTCTTTAGATCTTAATGTCCATAAGTCATGACAGAAAGAATATTTCAGTATTAATGAATTGACGGGGGACCAGCCAAGGGCCCATCAGGGAAAGTGGGGAGATTTTGAATGGCTACTAGTGTATATATTGATTATATACAACTACACTATAGAAAACCTCAAAAGACATGGTGGTCGATGTAAACTGACCGACCAGGAAGGCAAGCGTATGACTCTAGATGAGCTGCAGAGATTCACAGCAGGAGTGGGAGAATCTGTTGATATAATTAGCCATGCACTAAAACTGACATTTATGGAGCTGTAATGGACAAAAGAAAGAAAGGAAGAACAGCAGAACTGTTCAGGGGAACAGTAAACACCTAACACCAAACCTTACATATTATTTACTGCTTTGCATCAATCAATCACATAAAATCCCAATATACTACAAATGGTTTGATAATAAACTACTACGACAGAAAACCTCACATATAGCTAACTGAACAAAAGCAGAGCAAAAAACATAGATTTTGTAAAAAAGTTGAATAGTTTTGTCTCATTTCAGAAAACTAATCTCATATATTACATAGATTCATTACAGATACAGTGAAACATTTCAAAGTTCTATTTCATCTCATGGAATTTGAATTGTTTTGTTTCAGGAAGTTTGAATATTAGATTGTCTATGTCTTTTAGATGCTCCCCTATGCACCACAGCATATCATTACAGCCTGCTCAGACTGTCCTTTCTAATACAAAGAGAACTCCGTTTCTCAGAATGCATACTTATGTGTTCTCATGTGCTCGTGTCCTCGGTAAACGTCATCAGCCTCAGCCCTAGTACTGTTCCAATTCACAAGATCAAGAAGACCGAGAACTGACAAAGTCCCGGATGTTATTCTCGCCCCCCCCCCCTCTTTACCCAGCATGCATCAGCGCAGACTTGTCCGTTCTCGGGATTGACAGCTGTCCCAGCATGCACCGCAGCAGCAGCAGCTTCCAGATTGGCGCTCACAGAACTCAGAATATTAAGTCAAAAGTTCTCTTTTCTGTTGCCATTGTTCAATAAAAGTACGTTTTAAGATAATTTGAGGCGAGAACATTATTCTTAAAGCGTTACTATATGTCCCCTTTATGACAGAGTATTACAGTAGGTTCAGGCTAGAGATTTCTTAATTTTTTTTATTCTAAGAATCACCTTGTAATATTACTAGAATAAAGTCATTATATTATGAGAATAAGTTCATTATATTATGAGAGTAAAGTTGTGATATTATGAGAATAAATGATAAATAAAGATTACCTTATTTGTGAAACCGATGCCTGATTTAGTGCATAGTTAAATGTTTTTTTCCAAAGTTGAGAGGACCACAGCAACCAGCGGATCTCCGAGG